GTTTCTCTTCTGATCCAGGTGCCCCCTCTGCGCGGAATATTCTTTGACATACGAATACCCTTCATTCTGGGTAAGAGACAACCCATGAACAACGTCACGACATTCACGATAATCACCATTCGCCCGTTGAGCAACTTCAGCGTTGGAATAACCAGTTGCAAATCGCTCACGACGGTCCTTCATCTCCTCAGCAACCTCTCTTTTACCTGCACGACGAGCACGACGAATTCTTTGGTCAGAAAGCTCCCTGGTACGGCGAGAGCTAACTGCACACTCATCCGTCACGCGAGCTATCTCCCTCTCAACCATTTCTTCGGCTTGGTTAGCCTGAACAACCGCCCGAAGGCGAGCAACTTCTTTTTCGGCCATATCCGCTTGAAACTCGGCAAGACGAGCTTCAGCACCACGGGTATCTAGGGCCCGACTCATGACCAAGAAACCCTGCCAAAGAAAAGAAATAATCGGAATCATCCGATGATAAAATCACACAAAAAATATAAACACACGAACCTCTTTAGCTTGTTCAGACCCTCTAGTAAACTCCGGAACTTGATCAGGATCAACGCCCGGAAAGTTGGAGAGAAAACCTCAGATGCTCTTAAAGAGGCAAAAAGTGATCTAACATACTCTCACAAAATCTTGAGTACTCTTATTTATTCTGATACTCTCAAGGGTGGTGGTTAATGTCGAAAATGCCCATGACCGATTTAATGAATTGTTTAATGAATAATTCGAAATTATCTCTCTCCAATTCCCCCAATTTTCATCGAGCCGTCGTCGAGGAGTTCTTCTTCTGGAGTATTAGTCGAGTCCAGTCTTCTCAGAACATTCCCTTGTTGTTCCTTGCATGTTATTTCTATCTCGTCGCTTTTGATTCCGTGTAACAAAGTATGTATCTCAAATCGTCACAGGGATTTCGATTAGATAGAAGATTTCGTATTTGTGTATGAACTAATCGAGGAAGATCGGAAAGTTTGAATGGTCTACTTATTAAGGAATTCGATAATCAACAACCGTATAATTGAATGTCGGGAATCAAACTGTTTAAAAGACTCGATTCATTGTAACTGGAAATTTTGTATTCACTAATCGAAGATCAGAAAGGAATTAAAGTGTGGATGGTCTGTTTATTACTCAATTGGATAATTAATAAATAATCAAAAACTGTATGATTGAATGTCAGGAATGAAAAGACGATTCAATCAAAGAAGATTAGACGTTGGTCGATTACTAATTGACTACTGACACAACTGTGTAACATGGTATAACGAAGTATAACTTTGATGGTATAACTGTATAACCAAGTATAACTTTAGGGGTTTAACTTTTTTTTATATTGCAGACAATGAGTCTTTTTTCGACGAACATACACTTTGATTATGATGGACATTATTCGAAGGATGGAGATGATTATGAATGGATTCCAACCGATGGTCGTTTGTATGCTATATCCTTTAAGACATCATCGTTGGAGGAGATCACTTATTCGATGTTGAAGGAGAAGATATGCAGGAAGATGGGAATAGATCCGTTTATGAAGAGGCTCAGTTTGGGTTACATCCCATTGGTAGTGGAACCTAAGAGGCAATCATATATTTTGGATGATGAAGATGCGTTTGTTTATCTAACATCAGTGGATAGAGAGCAAAGAAGAAGTATTTTGCATCTGGAGGACATCGAAGAATTGCAAATAGTTCAAATAACCGAGCAACTATCAAGAGTCATTGAGAGCTCTTGTAGTAGGAACTATTGTGAGCGTGGGAGTGGATATGGAGAAGAAGAGAATGTGGGCACTGGTTTGGAACACGATGAACATCCCCACAAGAAACAAAAGAAGAGTAAGTTGTAAGCCTTTCGGTTGAAGTTTTGTTTTGGTGTTTTTATCTTATGGGAACGTTGTGAGAGAATCAATTTGTATTTGTGTGTTGTATAACTAAGTGAAAATTGGTTTCTTTACTGGTATAACTACAATAGAAAAACTGAGTAATAAATCACTGAAGTACTAAGATGGTTATTTATTGTTAATGTTATGTTAATTATGATTAATCTGAATTATTAAAATTCCATCTTATTGTTTGGTCATATAGGTAAGACCATGTACAATGGTGTACCTCTAAAAAGAATCCTTATCATTATTTAAGTAGTTTTGTTTTTTCTTTTTGAATAGTTAAGGATTCCAATCTAAATTTTTAGTCCAATGGTGTTATCCAATTAGGAGTCCTTAAGAATAAAAAAATAATAAAATATAAGAGTTGATTAAGAGTGATGAGTTGATCATCCATTACAAGTCCACTACAAGCAGATTATACAATAAGACAATAGCAAGACAAACATGCATCATTTAGGAAGAGACGAGGAAGTTGTGGCACCATTCTTCATGGTCAAGTAGTTGGTTAGTAAGTCAGTACACTCTTTCCTTTCCGGACATACACACAGCGATGGAGAAGTTTCCCCATCTCCAACCACATTGAAGACAAATAAATCTCCTACGGTGCTTCTGTTATCAACACAAAACCTTCTCCAGCCTCTTCCGATGTAAAACATGCCGCCTGCTTCGTTAAATCGCAAACTGACTGACCATGACTTCCCCTCTTTGTTCACTAGTTTCGCTTCTTGGCAGCGATTGTTCAGAGCAGTACACCGCGTAGCCTCCACAGGAAAATGCTGCAAACAAAGAAGGTAAATACATATAACAGATCACAAGTGTATCTTCACGGAGATTTTAAATTCAGACACATAAAGTAAACTACTCACAAGTTTGTCTTCAGAGAGATTTGACGGAGTGACCTCAGCAAAAAAAAACAATAGTCAAATGAGAAAAAAAGGAGCACCATCCGCAGCATCATCCCCTTGAGGAGGTGTATACTGAATCTCAGTAAAACTAGGACCGAAAGGAGTCACATGAAAGACCATGTCTCCTTCCTTTTTGAACACGACAATGTCACCGATGAGAAGGCAGTGTGCTTTGGCGAAGGCTTTCGAACCATCGGTGAGTCTTCTTCCTTCTTGTATAACTTCCCAAGTTTTGTGTGAAGCGTCCGATCTTAGTGTCCATTTTCCTTGGTTCGGTTTGCCTTCTATGTGTTTTGAGTAGAAGGCAAGTGGTATTCCCTACAAGTCAACAAAGGAGAAGTTAAGCAAAGGACATAAACAGACGAGAAATAGAGCGTGGGTATACCACGCCACTGTAGAAACCAGGAAGCAGAGGCTTCAAGAAGTGAGGTTCATGCTGATTCGCCATCTGCAAACAAGAAACAAAATGGAAACAATCATACATGTTCGGTTTTACTATCCCCAATCGATTGAAACCCAAATTGAAATGGAAACAATCTTACATGTTCGGTTTTACTATCCCCCAATTGATTGAAACAACAAATCGATTGAAATCCCCAATTTTTGAAACCCTAATTTGAAATCAAAATATCCCGAAATCGTTGAAAACACAAAACAAAACGGTAAAACTAAAGGAAAACAACACCCAAATTGAAATGGAAACAATCTTACATGTTCGATTTGTTGTTTCAATCGCCTCAAATCGCCTTCTCTCGAGAGCTCTCTCTTTTTTTTTTCTCCTTCGTGCGAAAACGTTTTTTTTTTCGTAACCCAAACACGAAAACCGAGTGAAACTTGTTGTTTTCGTTACCGTTGTGGTTGGTCTAATAATTTGTATTTGTGTATTTTATAACTAAGTAAAACTTGTTGTTATCGTTACTGGTATAACTAAAGTAATGATATGGTTATTTATTATTAATGTTACGTTAATTACTAAGTCACTGAAGTAATGATAGGGTTATTTATTATTAACGTTACGTTAATTATGATTTTATTAAAATTAAATCTAATTGCTTGGTCATATAGGAAATACACTGTGTTATTGTAGCCTTTTGGCAAAAACTGACCTCATTACATTTGAAAACTTAGTATGGCACGAAATCAAGTTTATGTGTATATGATCATATGAGAAATGAATCTAGGAAACATAATTTAATTGGTGTAACCAAAAAATCAGTGATTCAAGTAGAGTATAACCAAGATAAATGGAAATAATTAAAAAGTGAAACTTTGATGTTTTTCGTAAAACTGAAAACTTGGTGAAACTTACTGCGAAATTCGCTGGGATAAATTTTCCCACCCAGCTTTTCGAATTTCGAATTTCCTTCTTCCGAATTTTCTAAAACCACAAAATCGTTTAATTGAAGTATTAAAGACATTTTTTTTGGTTTTCCTCTATTTGTTATCTTCCATTTTCTCTCTCTCAAATTATTCTCTCTCTCTCTCTCTCTCTCTCTCTCTCTCTCTCTCATTCCTCTCCTAGAACTCACAGAGATGTCCACCACTTCATCTTCCACGACCGGTGGTCGGACACGAGTACGAACTCCGGGAATACCTATTAAGTGGTGGTGCGGGGTGGGAATCACCGAGCTCATCTCGAAAACCAAGCTAAACCCATTTCGCCGGTATTATCGTTGTCCCTATGCGGCTTCACTAAGGGTATGCCCAGCTTTTCGAATTTCGAATTTCCTTCTTCCCAATTTTCTAAAACCACAAAATCGTTTAATTATGCTTACTCGTTTTGAAAATATCCATGTCGTAGCTTGAGAACGATAATCACGTTTTCAAATGGGTTGATGAAGCTTTCACCGATGAGATACAACAGTTGGATTGCCAAGTTCGAATGCTCGAAGAAGAAGTTAAACTTCTCAAAGCAACAATATGTAGTGAAGGTCCGATGACGAGTTCCAAGATATCTGGAGGTTGTGTTCTTCTTACAGTCATTTTAGTTTTAGGAATTATGATATACAATAAGTGATTCTTGGAAAACTTTTCTGTCAACATTAAGTGAAACTATAAAGTTTGTCTTAAGTTTAGAAAGTTGAACCATTGAACTTTGACTTAAGTTTGTCTTAACTATAAAGTTGGAAAAATAGAGAGATCGAAGATATAACATTAACACATAGTTTTATTGACATTTAAACAAAGTTGAATCCGACATTAAACATTTACACGAGACCTTCAACCCCATATTTCTGAACATAAGGGTCGCTGTTTAGTAGAGACTGCCTGAATTCCTCAACCTCGGGAAAACGCGGATTGAACCTGAAGTCCGCAAATCCACCTTCGGTCTCAAGCCATATTTCAGGAGGACCAAAATAACCTGTATAAGTCATTTTAGTAAAAGTTCTACTCAACTATCACATTTAAAACTAGTCACAGAAACAAGACTTACGGATAAATTTCCAGACTCTCCACATCTTAAGGGCCACAATCACCTGTCTACGACCCCCACCACTCATGTAATCAAGACCATCCCGGAAGGCATAGGCCCGATTTCCGGTCACCACTCATTTTATCTGATGGTCACTATTCAGAATAAAGAAAAAGTGGGTCAGTTACAATATATATATACTATATAAGTGTTACTTTATACTCACATGTTGTCCCTTATGTAAAACTCCATCCTTGGTCCGGAAGGGGCATCGAGATAGGCTTCCATGTTGAAGACCACTCCCATTGTATCTACCATATAAGTGTTACTCAACTAAATCAGTTCGTTTCACTTAGTTTCACTTACATGTACAGAGTTATACAAAGTTCTGAAACCAAGATATGCGACTGTTGAGGGATTACCCAACTAAATCAGTTAGTTTCACGTAGTTTCACTTACATTTACAGAGTTATACAAAGTTTTGAAACCAAGATATGCGACTGTTGAGGGATTACTCAACTAAATCAGTTAGTTTCACTTACATCTACAGAGTTATACAAAGTTCTGAAACCAAGATATGCGACTGTTTGAGGGATTACTCAACTAAATCAGTTCGTTTCACTTACATCTACAGAGTTATACAAAGTTCTGAAACCAAGATATGCGACTGTTTGAGGGATTACTCAACTAAATCAGTTCGTTTCACTTAGTTTCACTTACATCTACATAGTTATAAAAAGTTCTGAAACCAAGATAACCAACATACCTATGGGATATTTGAGGTCACGCCAGTGCCTGCGAGGGATTTCATGGATGCTTTTGAAGTCCAAGAAAAGACGACTATTCAGAGGTTCGATGATGCGGAATTGCGTACAGCGCGTAACATTTAGTCTGAACGAGACCTAGTTGGCTGGAAACCTTGGTAGGTCCGTTCAACTTCTACCACAAAGATTTCCACCCATCTTCCCTCTTCCTTCTCAAGGCCTCTAAAATTTGGACAATCCCCACCAGTGGTCATCTCCATCTTGTATCCTACATAAATAAAGTACAAAGATCATGTTTATTACATGTTAGAAGGATCAAGTATTTATTTCTCACGGTTATATGTTTATTACACACGAGAGATGATGATATAACACTTACATCTTCATCTGCGAGGATATACTTATAGTAAGTCCCAAGTTTGGTAATCGCGTAAGGGTAGATCCTGTGTAGTTGCACTCTGAAACGCCAAGCCCTGATCATGGGGTAAAAGTAACCTGGGAAAGCTTATTGTACTCTGCCATCTTCTTTGTTGAGAGATGAGAGAAGAGATGAGAGAGGAGATTAGAGAAGAGATGAGAGAGGAGATTTCGTAACGGTGAGTGTTTAAATGCAGAATTCTTACAAATGCAAGCGATGGAGAATTCCAAGAGATGTGGCGTATAAAAGAGACTTTTTCACAAGAGAAGTCGTGTACTTTCGACGAGGATTTTTCTCAAAATTAATATTATTCTATTCATTTATTATCTCCTACACTGCTAGTTGCTATCATTAAATATATGAACTCTAAATATATTCACTAACTATTATCCATTTTGGAAACTGACCATCTTTTGAAAAATAAAACGATATAATATCAAAAATTTTGTTAAGTTTTGTATAGTTTCAAATTTTCATACAATCTAAATTGTTACGTTATTCTTATTTTCATAAATCTAGCCCGTGATCTCCCCGAGTTTCACTTACGTTTACACTTACGTTTACATATTTATATATCTTAAATTTGCAGTCAGAAAGTGTGTGAGATAAGTTGGAGTGGTTATGTTTCTCGGGGTTCGAAGTGGAGTTTAAATGCAATGGTTATGATGATCTACTACTTAATGACGGTGTAGTGTTGTGGCATTTAAATGCAAGTGTAATGATTATAAGAGAGACTTCGAAACTAGACATTTTCATGAGAGAAGTAGTGTTCTTTCGAGTAGTCCATCAAATCACCCAACTCCATAATTACAGGTTTTTATTTGACATTAATATTACCATTGTCATTTAATATATCCTATATTTACAGGTTTTTCTTTAACCTTAATATTACCATTTTCATTCAATTACTTTCACTTACTTATATAGTTATATATCTTAGTTTCACTTACTTTATATATAGTTATATATCTTATACAAAGTTACAGTACCAAGAGATGCGAGTGTAGATATTCAGAAGGCGTGTGAGAGAAGTCGTGTCTTCTCGAGGAGTCCATCAAATCACACTTAAATAGACACAGTGGTTCATTAATTTTTAAGGGGTTATCACTTCTACAAACTTGTGATTTCTCATTTCTTTCACCATTAACCGTTTTCTTTTCTCAGAGTTAGACAGAATTCTCAGTTAGACACTCGAGTTAGACATGGACAACGTGAACTTGACTTCTCTCCCTCCTTCAATGCTTCATAAGATTCTCTCTAAAGTATTAATGACCAGTATCCGGGACTTTGGTTGTGCAAGGATTGCTTTTCCGGGGTTCATTGAAGTGGGAAGAGATGATCACTTCTATAGATCGGCTGATCTCATTTTCTTCAATGACTAGGCAAACGAGGTCAATGCTATTCGAGCTTTCAAGGTTAAATGCACTACAAGAAAAATGGGCTTTGATAGCGGTGAAAGATAACGTTTTTTGTCTTTCTGCTATGGTTGATATACGCGTTAGTTTTAGATAGCGTTTGTATATTCAGAAACACTATGATAGAATTGTATATTTAAAACCGCTATGATAGCGTATTTCTAATAGCACATTATTAAAAACGCTATCTTTCACTTTTTTAATCTCTAAACCCTGAACAAGTTTTTAAACCCTAAACTTTAAACATAACTTCAAAATCTAACTATTTTAATATCAATTCTTAAACTTAACATCAAATATTAAATATAAACTCAAACACTATATCTTTTTCAATAATTAATCTTAAATCATAATACCCTAAACCTTTAACCCTCAAACCCTATACTCAAACCTTATTCTAAACTCATAACTTTAAATCTAAAATCTAAATTGAATATAAAATCAAACTTAAATTTAATTCTTCAAATAAATTCAAATTTNTTTAACTTAAAATCATAACCATGAACTCTAAACCTTATATACTCAAATCTTATCTATCATAATAAAACTCAAACCTTCAATTTACACATTTAATTATTAAACCGAATCATAATTACAAATCTAATATTCTCATAGTTAAACACCAAACTTTGAGCATACATTTTTAAAACTTTAATATGTTCAAATTTTAAACCTTTAATATTTACTATACTCTTATATTTTAGACTAATTTCATTTTACATTTAAAATAAATCTTAACTTATAAATAATTTTAAAATTTCCAATCTATTATTTGAAACATTGACACCAAACTATAATTACATTATTATTTTTTTGGTTCGAAATTATATATAAATAAATAACTTAATCATTATATTAAATGAAAACAATTTTCTAATGGATTATTTTGGCCTTTGATTGATTTCAATCCAAAGGCCACAAATTAATGTTTGGTTTATCTTTTATCTTTTTTCTTATTTGTTAGTATCTCAAACACAAGGATAGCAATCTTAACCATCCAATATATTTGATCCTATGGATAGAAATCACTCATACTCAGATCTCTATCTCTTCCTCCCTTCCTTCTCTCACGTTATCTCTCTCTCTCTCTCTCTCTCTCTTTTTTGTTACAGATCTCTCTGGTTATCCCTCCCTTCTTCCTCAGTCACCACCACCACCACAAGACCTCCATTCGTTCGCCCGCCGTCCCAGCTCATAACCACCACCACACATCCTCCGTTCATTTGCCGTCCCAGCATCACCACCACCACACAACCTCTGTCGTCCGCCGTCCCAGCATACCACCACCACCACCACCACCACCACACAACCACGGTTAGAACTCTCTCTCTCTCCATCTCTCTCTCTCTCTGTTTTGAACTGGTATTATTGATTTTAGGGAAGCAAGGCAAGGCAGGCATGGCGGATGGAGGAGGAAGATGACGGCTTCAGATTCAGGAGGAGGAAGCTGACGTCGAGTTGGTGGGGAGGCGACGAGATTAGGTTTAGATGGATGTGACGACGGCGGTGGTGATGAAGGTCATGGCTGGATGAAGCCCAGGATGAAGAAGAAGAATCATGGCTGGATACTGATGAAGGTCATGGCAAAAACAAAGACGGCGGTGTTTAGTTAGTAATTAGGTTAAAGCGGTTTAGTTTTTGGTTTATTTAGTTGGTTGGTTTATTATTTAATTAGATTTTTTTTTGTATTTTTGTAAACCAATTTAACTATAGATAAATTTAAATAAGAAAGTAAATTTGATTCCATGTATAATTTTAATTTTTAATTACGTTTTTAATTTTAAATAATTAAAAATTAATTCTAAAATAAATAAATTTTAATGTAAATAATAACAAAAAAATCATGCTATTAAAGACTCTTTAATTGCATACAAAAAAACGCTATAATATATGACAATAAAATAGCAGTGCAAAAAACCGCTATCTAAAGTGCTTGACCTATTATGACGGGCGATGATACAGCGCTTCATAAACCGCTATCGTATTGATAGATAGCGTTTTTCGTCCGCTAATAAAAGCCATNAAATCATGCTATTAAAGACTCTTTAATTGCATACAAAAAAACGCTATAATATATGACAATAAAATAGCAGTGCAAAAAACCGCTATCTAAAGTGCTTGACCTATTATGACGGGCGATGATACAGCGCTTCATAAACCGCTATCGTATTGATAGATAGCGTTTTTCGTCCGCTAATAAAAGCCATTTTTCTTGTAGTGATGCTACCGTTTGGGTAATCCTGAGGCAATCTACCTGAGAGGTATGTACGAGTACTTCTTCCTCCATTTACTTGATGAAGGAAGGGAAAAAATACATCGTGCTGCTGAGAGAAGGTGCGTGTTGGCACAATTTGTAGATGCTATGATGAACTTAGCATTTAGCGTTGATGGTAGAGGAATTGTTCACAACTACCCTGCTTTTACTCGTCAACATGTTGACGAGATGTTTCAAATCATCACTGGTTGGAAAATCGGACACAACTGGGATTACGAAAAAACCTCCCACGTTTATATCTGTGGCTGAAAGGATAGATCCTAATGTGCCACACTCTTGCTGGTGATCCAACCTAGACCCTCCAATGTTTGTAGTCTCCCTAGATGGATCAAGATTGGGGTGGAAATGCGATCATTGTTTCTGGAATTGTGCAGCTTGGGAGTTCTGCTATGCCATACACTTGACTACTCGTGCCTGGCCCATTGAAGATTAGTTGGGTGTTTATGACATAGAAGTTTTATCTAGTTTTACTAAGTTGTTATGTAAATTACTCTTCACAATATGCTCTGTTATTTCTCTAGTTTTATCTATAAACATTATGTAATTCCTCTCGATTTCTTCTTCAAACAAATCTTTTTTATTTGAACTTCAATAAATATATCAATAACAACACATGTGGCCGAACAAATAACGTAAAAATAAATTGCAATCTAAATGTGGACTACTCCTAAATGTGTGATTTAGTTTAATTTAGCATAACTTTGTAACTGAGACAGTATTTATTTGTTCAGGTTTTATTACGCTACACAGTTACACCAAAGTTTACGACTACACTAAGTCTTACAAAGGTTTCGGAAGTTATGGAGAAATAGATCCGAATTTTATGGATCGGGTCTGGATGGTCCGCGAAATGGCCCTTGTTGGGTTGTAATTATGTAAGCTTTTGTTGGGTCCGTGGTCTTTTGATAAATTTTTGAAGTTAAATAAAGATATATTAAATTCCAAATCCGGGCAGTTTCGGGCAGGAGTATCTCAGATCATTTTTTCGGGCAGGAGTACCTAAGCGTTTAATTCGGAAAGTTGGAGGTTGACGATCCGCCCGCATTCGCCCAAACACCTTCTTCCGCTTGGCTGTCAAGGAAGTCCTTGAGAATATTTTCGGGAGAGGCCGTGCGTTCAGATTCGTCATGTTCAACAACCGAATGTTTATCCCCTCGAGATCTCGACTTACCCCTCCTCGTTGAGGGAACGTACGAAATAAATTCTCCTATGAACGGATAGTCTTCATGAATCAGAGAATCTGCGAAAAGCCGAGATTGGAAGAGAGCAACCGCCTGGCGGACACGCTGTGGAGAGAAACTGCCCCAGCTGACTTCACCGCGTTTGAGTGAGGCAGTGATACTCGGGAGATCCGACGGTTGCAGAGGTAAAGG